TATTTATAAATAAAATAGTGCATATAAGAAGAGTTAAAAAGATAGTTTTAAGTTGAAAGTGAATTAGTGTTATAGAACTAATTGGACGATTAATGTCGTTGTCTTTTCTCATTGCTAGGAAAAGGTTGGTTTAACAAATTTAATATTGTAGTTTGATTATAAAGGATTTAGATTCGTACCCGGCTACATCACCGTTGGCTTGTTGTGCTTCAATAATTTGGCCGAGCTGTATCGCCAGTACCAAGAATATAACAACAATAGTTTGTCTTAACATTATTTAAATAAACCTACAAATTAAAAAGACTTTTATTATCTTTTGTAATGACTATCTAAATTGGGTATCAGTCGTTTGTAACAGTAAACAGTTAACGAAGTTAAAGAGTAATTAGCAAAAAACTGTTGTATCATTTCTTTTGGTTATTAGTATTTCAAATTGATAGGCAATTTTGTTACAAATAATCTGAAAAAATAACTGAATACCAAAGTAAAGATTTCTTTAGCACTGTTTAATTTGTTCGTCGATTTTAAGCTTTAATAAATTTATTTTTAATAATATGCTTTTGTCGATGCTTCTCATCAAACTTAGAAATTTAGCAAGCTTATACAGTAAAATTTAATAACAAACTCTTTACCATTGGCACAAGTAGTACACAAGAAATGGAATTGCATATTCATACAAATGAACACAGCTGAAACAAAGCACTTCCGAAGCTCAACAGTATTATAATCGTAGAATCTTTGTGTTTTATTTTTGTAAAACAAAGAGATTCACAACTTTTTTAGAGGCCAAAAGGCAGATCTCAAAGAAGCACTTTGTTTGTCAGTACATGTTATCAGTTATTATGAGAATTGAGTTCGGCAGTGTCAAATTTTGAACCAGGACATTTTTATGCTCATTCAATAATTTGTAATCAATCGGTTGCGGTTAACATTCGTAAAAATTTCTAATTTGTCTGTAGCTCTTCAATTGGAGTCTTTTTAAAGGTGAGTGAATAAATTTGTTGTACATTTGTGTTTTCTAAAGTCAATAATTTCGTTGCATAGTAGTGTCGTCGTCTTGTTCTACTATCTCTGTTTTCTTAATCTCTCTAAAGTTCAATAAGTAGTAGCATTAAGTCCCTTATTCTAATTTCTTCTTGCAAGAGAACTATTATTACTGTTTGGAAGTATAGATTTCTTCTCATATAAATAAAGTGATTCTATCACTGTCTCTCTCTCTCTTTCTCTCTCTCTCCATATAAGTAATAAATACGGTAAAGCTATAGGCAAGACTTCAGTCTACCAGGGACTCAATATAAGAGAACTCCCTAGATTAAGATAAGTTTACAGTATTTCAGTAGAAGAGAAATCAACTGTAATAAGAGAGTTTAGTCAAACCAAAATTCAATTCAGATTAAAGTTACTGTAGAAAGCTTTGAAAAAAAATTTTATTTGCAAAATTTTTATAAACAAGCAAACAAATCAGTAATTTATATAAATAAAGTAAACCATTTCAGAAGAACGTACGGAACGAAAGTGATATTTGTGTCAACTGATTGTAAAATGATTATTTTTATATGAAGAGAATAGAAAACAACTTTGTTATTGTAACGGCTTCTTCAAAAACATTGAATGACATCAAATACCATCATCGTCATCATCATCAGCGTCATCAACAACGTCGTCATCAACAGACAGCATCAAAACATTTCCTAGCAGGTTTCACATCGTAACCTTTTCAATTAAAAATATTTTTTATTGTCTGGTTAAGTGCATACAAGTAGTACAAAGTTTCACATTTTTATTGACACTTTTCAGGATGTTTAAGATTAATGGCATAAAATTTAAAATCTTGAAGCTGTATATCTGGTGGAACAGATGATTTTTTTAGATTTATGTTGCTTGTACTTTGTGCGACAGATTTTACATGCATTTTTGTCAACAGTTGGATATACCAACTAGAAATTCCGTTTTTTTAACTCCAAGCAGCAAAGATAGCTGCCAACAACATAACTAAAAGTTTTAACGGTTTTATGTGTTTGTTAACAGTTCATAATATATGCAAACACAGTAAAAAAAAAACGTTCTTACTGTATATATATATATTTATTTGCACGGTTTTTTCTTCTGAATCTCATCAGTGTAGAAAATAATCTTTTTTTTTTACACTTTTTGGCTTATTGATCTTGTTAAAGGCATAACGATTAGTTAAATAATTTAGCAGACACTAGCTGCAGACAATAAACAACATCGTTACTGAATTAAAACATCAAAAAAAAACTGTTAGTTGTTTTGATAAAAATTAACCACCACTTTTTTTCCCATTTGTTCTCTCCGACAGAGTATCTGTTGCCTGATTAACACCTGATTGACTGTATCATCAGCTGTGTAACTCAGCATTTATAAAGTTGAAGTCAAAATTTGATGCTTATGAGGTCAAAAAAAAAAAAA